ATCTGAATTCAACCAATTATAATATCGAATTATTTGAATTCAATTTGATTATATCGAATCTCAAATTCAAAATTGGATTTTCGAATACCATTGACACCTATATTCACACTCAGCGACTAGAAAATTAATCTACCTTCTAGCAAAGCAACTTGTGATTCCTACACAACCACTATCACATAAGGACATGTTAAAATGAAGCTATAGACTCATTTGAACTCCCAGAATTCTTCAATCTGGTGAAGTGCAATTTCAATTTCAAAATTCTATTAGTTTTGTTCAGTTTCGCCAGGTTTAAAAGCTCAATTAAATTTATAATCTTCAAAAATCAATTATTATTTGGTTAAAGGTCAATTTAGATCAAATTAAATTGAACTTTCTATGAGTTGAATTGGAATAGCTTGTGAAAAACTTGGTTTGTATTTACTAAGGATGCAAACGGATTGGATCAGATTCAAATCTGGGTATATCCGAATCTGACCTGACACTATTAATAGAAGATCCGATCGGATCGAATCTGATAAACATGAAATCTGAATTCGAATTCGATGAGGAAGTCGGATTTTCGGATCTGATCTGATTCGATTTGATTTTTAAAAATTAATAAATTATTAAAAGAAAATTAAAATGAAACAATTTAAATCAAGAAAAACAAAAAACTACAAATATCTTTTCAACTATTTTCATCATATATATACATATTTTTAGGGTAAATTACAAAAACCTCCTATACTATGGGGTTTGTGACAAAGACCCCCTATGCTTCTTTTGCGACAAACACCCCTTGTACTTTGGCCGTTAGACAAAGACCCTTTCTTTAGGGTTTCAGTTGATTTCAAAAAAGATTCTCATTTGACTGTTTAAAGTTTTCTAAATTCTTAAATTACTCTTTCTTTATTTATTAGAACGGTGAGAAGAAATAACCCATATACTTGTAAAAATCCGATAACAATGTTGATTGCTAGATCTTGAACAATGGTTTGAGCGAGAGAGAGAATCTGGGAGAGCAAGTCAAATCAGAAGACCTTTTTATAGAAAGATATATATTAGGTTGTGTTTCGAAATGGTGCAAATATGTGTGAATGCAAATATGTAGTGTAAAACGGTTCATATAAATTGTAAAATTCGGTTAGTTTTGCATTGACAAATTTACTTTCTTACCAAATAGACTTTTATATGGATGCAAACACGAATTCCAATAAAGCATATGTTTTTTTTTTTTTATCAAAAGTCCACTTGAATGCAAATTTACTTCTTTTTTGTTGATGTACTTTTACATCTTATTATCAATATAAATATGCATTGGTTTGTCATTTGTGAATGCAAAAATATAATGTTGTCAAAAACAGTAAAAAATGAACCAAAATGCAAATTTATCCTAAACCGGGATTTACACTCCATTTGCACCAAAGATAGGACAGACATTAAACCATTTTCTTTAGCTGACGGGCTCCAACCATTTTTCTCCATTGATGACCATGAGCGTCTGCACCCAAGGTTAGTGAGATAGTCCAGTTAGAGGACTCCCACAGAAGTATTTAGAAAGGAAAACGAAATAAAAAGCATCTTCAAATGATATTGGAGCAATCGTCATTCCTCTTTCTTAACCTTCTGGGTGGTGAACATACGAAATACACATTCCATATGTATTTTGTGTATAACCTTCAACTTTATTCAAGTATCAAACACTGTCACTGAACACTTATTGATCTTCATGATTTATATGCAAAAGCTTCACTTGGGCGACAGAGGGTTGAGTGCCATGACAGCTCGACCTCAACTCAGTTTAATGTAAGTGATATATACAAGTATAAGCAAGTTCTGATGTATTAATTCCATTCAGGAAGATGCCAACGCCGCTACCAAAGGTACACCGGTAGAACACTGAGAGATCCGAACCTGAGCGGAGGGCAACTGTTTGGTGCTTCTGAGGTCCCGCTCTGTTTTTGAACATCATATCCCGAACAATGAACCCATTGTCGGTGATTCCTGAAGATGAAAGAAACTTTAAGCCATTGCCTCTGTGTTTTTAACTTTAACCTGTTTACTCAAACTGTATACTGCAGATGGAAGAAATTTCTTTAGGCAAAATCGTTTTCAAAACTTGGAGCACAGCTCAAGTAGTCCAAGAAGCTTCAATGGGGGGACCCAGAATCAAACAGAGGAATGGAGAGATCCTACTCTGCTCCTGCGTCGATTTCAGAGTTAAAGATCTCCTAATTAATAAATTTCTTATTAACGGTGAATACAGTGACGGAATTGTGCTCTTTAAGATCGAACGGATATTAAAGGTTTAATTTGATCGGACGTTTTTAAGAATTATTGGATTTGGATTGATAATTTAAGAAAGGGTAAATTACAAAGACCCCTGTACTATGGGGTCTGTGACAAAGATCCTTCTGTATTTTGTTTTGCGACAAAGACCCCCCTGTACTATGACCATGAGACAAAGACCTCCCTTGACCGTTAAATCAGATGACAGAATGCGTTAAATTACTAAAATATCCTACTAAACTTTTTCTATTTTCTTTTTTTTTGCCATTTTTCTCTTAAAACCTATTTAACCTGTTATTTTCCCTTTTTCTCTTCTTTTCCTCTCCCTCATTGTCCTCTCCCATTCTTTCTCTCTCCCAATTCTCCGAAATGAAAGGACGGAGGAAACCCATTTAAATTCTCTGCCCTGCACAGTCACCTGTTAGACCTAGAAAGTCACATGTTAGACCCAACTCTCCCAACTCTCATTCTTCTCTTCTTCTCTTTTGATTTTCTTGTTATAAGAGATTTGATTTTGGTCCTAAGTTTGAAACTATGTAGGTTTTAAATTCTCTGCCCTGTTGCATAATTACCGAGCAAAAGAAAATGGGGGAAGAAGGAAAAGGTGGAGGAGAGTGGCAAGAGCAAAAGAACATGACGAAGATGAAATTACTCATCCCTCTCAACATGGACGCTTTGCTTAGTGTGATTAAGCCTACACTTGAACATTCCAGGGGGAGTCTTTGTAATTACCCCAAAAAAAAAAGTAAAACCAAGCTGGGCATTATATAGACTTACAAACACAGAAACTATTGAGCATACTAGAAGAATGGAAGTTCGATTGAAGATTGTTTACTTTAGAAGCACTCACCGCTTTTAATCAATACATCTCCAAAACTAATTAAAATTTGTAGAAAAGAAAAGATCGACAACAATAACTTGAAAACGCAAAACCACAACAACAACCAGAATTAAGTCCATAAAGCAAAATCAATAATACGAAAAAAAAAGAAGGATTTTGTACCCTGTAAGGAGATTGTCGACATAGCTGATAAGCATCTTGAGCTTGCTCCCTCCCTTAGAGCAAGGCCTGCATGTATCTCAATGGTCATGGCATCGGCCACCTGTCTGAGCCTCCCAACCGGCGTCGCACACTTCTCTTCAAATTCCTTCATTATGGCCATCACCCGGGCCCAACGACCTGAGCATCGCATCCGATGGCGCACGATAAACATTGGCTCTGCGCATACAGTCACAGCACAAATCACCGCAGCTCCAACCGCCACCTTCCCCTTCCCCATTAGATAAAAAGAAAATCTCAATATTATCATTTTCAATTCCACCAAGAGAAAGAAAAATGCATCTCCATCAACGACAGATCTGAGATCATTGCCTTTGGGGTTCCTTTTCCTCAGTGTGTGAAAACTTCTAAGAGCCAGTGTTGTTTCCTCCACTCCAGCCATGGCTGCCGGTGGCTAGCTCCATCTGAGAAGGCTTCGGCCTTAGCCATTTGCTAAAAGAAGAGTTGAGCATCGATTCAATCATGGCGCGAGCTTCCTTAACCGACCCGTTGCTCTTCGAGTGGCCGGCCATTCACTCTCTCTCTCTCTCTCTCTCTCTTCGTATAAAAATCGAAGAAAACCTTGTCAAACGCCTCTATTCCTTCACAGTTCACACACTCTTCGGCTAGCCATAAGATCCCTTCCAATGGCTGCGACCTTTCGATTTCGTGCTTCTCTTCTCGTCTCCCTCATCCTCATTACCACCCTATCTCAGTGCCCCTCGTTTGCATCGCCTTTGAACCCCAATTTCTAATCAAAGGCCGACAACAGTGGCTCTGACGCAACCAAGTACTGGTGCACAGCGAAGAACAACGCCAAAGATTCAACTTTGCAGACAGCGTTGGATTGGACTTGCAGAGTGAGAGGCGCTGATTGCAGGGCTCTACAGCAAGGCGGTCCCTGTTACAATCCCCGGGATATCCCGTCTATGGCCTCCTATGCCTTCAACGATTACGCCCTCAAGAACGGCTTGTCCAACACTACCTACAATTTCGGCAATAGTGTTGCCATCGTCACACTCGCATAGCAATATCTCTGCAAACAATGCATTTTTCGCGTTCCAACAGGAAACCATCCTCGGCATTCATTGCTTCAGAGGTGGAGCAAAGAGAGTTCTAGAGATAATTATGAATCTGCCCAGGAAAGGAGCTCAAGGTCACTCTCGGGATCATCTTCATCTACAGGACGGCGAACATATTAAACGCAATGATTGTCAAGCTACTTTGGAAAGGAAGATAGGGTCGTAGCTGGAGCAGGCGACGCTGTACAATTAATAAGGGTAGTATGGGGATTAAAATATATTATAGCAGCGGATTTAAACGGAAAATTAACGGAAGGGGGTCTTTCTCTCACAGTCATAATACGAGGGGTCTTTGTCACAGACACCATAGTATAGGGGGTCTTTGTAATTTACCCTTTAAGAAAAACAAGATTTTATGAAAAAAGGGTAATGAAAAGAAAATAAAGAAAGTCTGGTGCGTATTTTAGTAATTTAACGCATTCTGTTATATGATTTAACAGCTAAGGGGTCTTTATAATTTACCCTATTTTTTATAAAAAAAATAAATAATATAATAAATTATAAAAATATAATATAAATAATATATTTATAAATAAATAAATAACATATCTTCCCGGATCAGATAAAAAATGATTCGAATTCAATTCAATTTCTAATCAATCCTATTATCGGATCCGATCCAAAGAACTAAGGTGGGACTATCCGAATTCATGATCCGATCCATGAAGATTGTTCCCAATTAACATCTCCAAGCTTGAGATCATGAGGCATCACCTGGCCGCAAGTAGCTCTAAGATTTGGGCCTCTAATAATTTAACGGCTGTTAAACGACAGAACCACTCGTCACAGCCACGTGTTAGAATCATACGGAGAGAGGAGGACGAAGGGAGGGTGTATGATCGGTCAATGAGCATCAAATTCAAATGGATAACACCCTCACACTTCATTGGATCCACAAGGAAAGAACAAAGATCTTAGATCAGTGAACGATGGCCCTCCAACACTGCTTCTACCCCGGCAAAGCAATCTGCCGCCTCCAACGAATCTATCTGGCACAGGATTCCGGCGGCCAGAAGGACAACCCGCAGCCGCAGGTGGTGGCACCCTCTTTAGGGAGACCGCCAGCGGAGGAATTTGCCCCTTTAGCCTCGGTCTTCCGTCGGCGGCTCCTCATCGGTGTCAGTTCCGCTTCTCTCGTCGCCATTGGCGCCAATTTTGCAGGCGTCACAAGTTTCCTTCTCGGATTGTCGCCGGAAACTGGTAGGAATCTGAAGCTGGACGTTCTTTATCCGGTGGGTGGTTACAGTCGCTGCGTTGAAACGAGTGAAGGCTTTGGTAAGTCCAGTAATCCACCACAAAACAGGGGAGGAGAGCGCCATGGCATGAGCTTATTATAACTTCATATATACTTACTCTCTTTAGTCTCTTTCCTTTCCGGTAGAATTCATTTATCCAGCCAATTGGGTGGGAGACCAGACACTGTTGTACAGAGCAGTGGGGAAGGCAGAGGCAGAGAGATCACTAGACCCACCTCCCTTGAACAAAGATCGCCGTCGCCGGAATTTTAGTGAACCGGTGGTGGCATTTGGACCTCCGGGCTCCAACGGGGAGCTCAACGTCAGCGTCATCGTATCTCCGGTCCCTCTTGACTTCTCGTCAGTAATTTTTGGATGCTTTCATTCGTATTTCTGAAACACAGACTAGACTGTTTGTTTCTGTTCCTGATTTAGTTGTTGTTGGTGATGGTAGAATTGAAGCTTTCGGAGGGACGAAAGAAGTGGGAGAGGCTGTGATAAGGACAATTGCTGCAGGAGCAGGATCGGGACGAAGGCCCGATGTGAGAGCAACGCTCATAGAATCCACGGTAAGAAAGGATCCAAACGTCGAAGTAAACTACTACAAGTTGGAGTTCAGAGTTGAGAGCCCCTCGTTTCGGCGTCACAACGTCGCCATCTGTTGTGCTCGTGGTGGCCGGTTATTCACTCTAAATGCACAGGCGCCGGAATCAGCTTGGCCGGAGGTGAACCAAGATTTCTACAGGATTGCTGATTCTTTCACCCTCACTGCCTAAACATATGAGAAAGAGAGAGAGAGAGAGAGAGAGAGAGAGAGAGATTCTCGTGAGTGAACATGTCGGTGAGGTTTGGTTGAACCGTCAGAAGGTGCCTCAGATTTGCTGGGAACACATCTGTATAAGGGGTTATGAAACCAGTTACGAGTGAACGCGTGTGTAACGGATTTTATAACTAATCACAATTGAACACGTTAGTGTTTCGGAGATTTGCTGCGAACGGATCTGTATGATGGATTATGTAACCAATGTTTTTTCTTTATTTTTTTTCAAGCGCAAATACAAATATGCACAATTTAGGTGGCACCGGTTTTTTAAGAGGTTGTTTGGTATCGATGGTGTTTATAAACATTTTGTAAAATTTTTTTACACCTCAGCGCCATTAGGCGCCACTAGACGCCATTGCGCCATATAAGCCAAACAGTGAAAAATCGGTTTTGAAAATAAAAAACATCAAAATTGATGTTTTTTTAATAAACGGTCTACACGATTTTTAAGAGGACTCAACCAAATAACTTTTTTGGCATTTTTTTGTTAAATGCATCTTCAATGCTGAACTGGCACCGTTTCTTCCAAAATCTATATCGATACCAAACACCATCTAAATAATTTCAAGGCTTTGTGCTTTTAGAAACCAGGGAAATTGGGTGGTTCATGAATTTGTCTCTTTGGATCAGTTTGTTTGCAGTACAATTTTCATTTGCACTGGTCCAAATGTATAGGAATTGCAATTCTGGGCCTTCAATCCTCTTTCTGAGGACTCCAGATCTCCATGCATTGGTAATATCTCCCCGCACGTAATAACATGTAAAATGATAAGATATTCCCCATGTGTGGCTAGAATGTTATGTAGGGTGTCGTAGGCATAATTGTCATGGATAGGAAATCCGGACTCCTTCCTGGCAAAACCTATATAGCTGGGCTTTCTGGGCCTTCCATCCTCTTCCTGGACTATAGCTGGGGATGCTTGTATGTTTTTTTTGGTATAACTCTATAAAGATGTAGTTCTGTGAATTAGATATGACAAATTACACCTCTGAATTATGCCCAGCAAATATGCAGTGAAAATTAGCTCAAAACCCAGTTTTCTGCATACTTGAACCAGGTCTATAAAGAATTATTCACAAATTTTCCAAGTAGAATCTATAAAATGCGCTTTCCAATCAGACCCATGTTCAATAACTCAGTATCTTTACAGTTCAATCAGTGACTTTGGCAACCATCGCCACTCTCATTTACTAAAGGCGACCAGCCGAAGAAATCAAATAAGTCATCTTACAGGATAAAATGAGAGATCTTTCGGGCTTTCAACTTTTGAAACGAAATGGTACCACCGGAAAGCTCTGCAAATTCTTTTCATTAAAAAATTATGAAAGGAGACTCAGGCCGCCGATGATCTCTTGGGTGCGATTCACGTCTTTCCATTAAAAAATCACGAAAGGAGAATCTAAAGAGAAACTGACCCCAGTTTTGTTAGATGCTCTGTTGTTTCTCATCAGCTCTCTGTAACATCATTGCCTAACGACCGAATCTATTCACAGCTCTACACTACAATTAAATGATCCTTCCTATTAGCAAGGTTGTCGGCATAGTCGGTGACTCAGTGCCTACGATCACGCCACCTTCCATGCCTACTACGGTCCCGGTGCCCAGAGTACCGGTGTCTTGACCAGTCAGGTGGTCTACTAGAATTGCGACCATAATCCCTTCTGGGCTCAGAAAAATTCCGTCCGAACAGGTACTCTTGGGACCTCACTGGACTCCTCTCCGGGCTCCACATTTCAAGTTCCGGCTCACCGGCAATTTCGTTTGTCTCCCAGCGTGGACCAGGAGGCATCAAGGGAGGCTGCGCGACAAACGCATTATAATTGCTTTGGTTAGCGTGAACAAAGGGGATTGATACAGAACCCTGCCCACCCATTCTGGAGTCAGAGATGGAGGCCTGTTTTCCAGAGCTAACAGCTTTCTGTGGCATAGATGGGTGGTGGTGGTGGTATGGAGGCGAGATGATCGAAGGCTCTGGTAGCAGTGGTGGCTGCGGCCTTGCCGGGGTTGGCAACAAAGGTGGCAACTGGGGAATCGCAACGGCTGGCCTCTCCTTTGGTGGGTTCATGACGATTGATATGGTTGGGGGCTTGGGATTGTGCAGTTGACCAAAATTTGATGTTTCTGGGCGCAGCGGTGGAGGGACCGATGCATGCAAGTTCTGTGGAGGGAAGTGGTTCTGTTGTAACAGGGGAATGGACGATAGATGTTGGTCTATGGAGGGATTCACTGAGGGCAGTTGCTTCTCAGGCAACGCAGCAGCGAAGACTTTATGGGATGTTTGTAGCTGCAATGCTGGTGGAGGCTGTTGGGCCAAGGGACTGAGGACGGTTGGCATTTGTGGTGATGTGATGGTGGAAGTAGTTGGAAATTGAGGCCTCACAGTCACAGACACGGCAGCAGGAAGCTTCTCCGGTGAAAGGACGGTTGCAGGAATTGCTGGGAAACCAGTTCCACTTCTGTTGGCCGCTGGAGCTGGCTGCTGTAACAAATCCTTGGGGGGTTCTGGTCTCCATCGGTTCTGCAAAAAAAACAAGAGCAACCTTCTGTTAGGCCCACGCCAAAATAAGCATAGAGGGCTTAAGAAAACTACAAAATAAGCATCCAAGGTTTTGGTGGTCGGATGACAGCTTCATACAGTCAGAGTCACTACTGAACTGCAGACAGGGAGGAGATTAGCATATCCATACTTGGATTTGGATCCAATTGGCGTCAGAAACCATGGGCGACATGCATATAATGGTTTCTTTTATTCATTCATAGTCATCTGAGATACATATTCTCTATCCGAGAAAGGATATTACGAGTAACGAGTTGAAGATTCATGGTTTAACTGTAGCACAGGTGGTGGTACAGTCGTACTGGTACCCAGGAGAGAACCCAATGAATGGTAGACCATTGATTGTCGCCGAAGCATTAAATCGGATAAAATCCCAGTGCTTACACTGTAATGTAGCGAGATTCAACCACTCGGAGTGAGTCTCACCAAAGGTCAAAATGAAACAGATAAAAGAAGTTTCGTTCTGGAATAATTGTCATTCTTAATCATGGATACCATCCCTTTCAAGTAGCAGAATGTGCTGCAAGTAAATTCTTCTTGGGGCCCATTCAAGTATGTAGACTCTGAAGCATACAGATACAGGATAATAATATGGTAGGAAGAATTAAGTCACACACCATTATGGGGTCCGACGGAGGAGTTGGGGAAGGAAGAGATGTGACTTCTGCCTTTGGTTCAACGTTTCCACCAGAGACGTTTAAGCCCATCCCATTAGCCTTGATCATATCAAGCAGCCTCACTGTTTCCTCACTCGTTAAATTGCCAGCTTGACCAGATGTCAAGGCAAAAACCAGCTCCGGGTTCTTGAGAAGCACAGCAAGCAACTCAAGGTCCGGTTCTGGAGCACTCCCGTTACAAAGTCCGACTGGTGTGCCAGCAGATTTATCTTCAATAATTTCACGAGGCGTAGGCAATGATTCTGCACCATCAGCTTCTGGTTGCTGTTCAATTGGGATTTCTGGGGTCAATGTATCATCGTAGTCCATCTCTTGGTCCCATGGTTCCTTGGGATCAGATGGGACTTCTTGAATGTCGTGGGATAAAGTTTCCTTCTCCCGTCGCAACCTCTCTGTCTGAACTTCAACTTCTTTGCTCCTTCCCCCTGTGCCGACTCTCCACAGACTGTTGATCCTCACCTCTGCAGAAAGAAAATAATGGCAGAAAAGGCTGAATTCCTTGAAGAAATGGTTTCAAAACTTTCACTTGAGATAAAACATCCAGCGGATTGGGATAAAATAGGAGGAATAAATCCAAATCACCAACTAAGCAAAAATATGCATCTCCAACTAACCGATTTATTCAAACTCCATAGGGTTACGAACAGAAACACCAACTAAGAATAAGTAAAAGAAAACAATTAATGGCACCAGCATTTGTTGTTAGTGGAATATCTCGCAAAAGCATTGCCAATCTTAATATCTAATTTGAGACCATGGCCATTAATGTCACAAGCAATTAAATTTGAATCAATAGACACTACAGTGGTAGTTAAAGTCAGGATGCATCAGCAAAGAGTGAGCACATCTTCCTACAGATCTAACTTCTCAAATAAGAACTTTAGCTTGACAAAGCTAAGCAGTAAGTTTCATCAGTGTCAACCCCTTCATTAACGTCACTCACCCTCAGAATCCAGTCTACCTCATACGGTATGCCCAAACAGGCAGGCACAAAACGGTTATAATAATTTTTTGTGTAAATTGCTGAAACCTCCACTGAAGTTATTGACGGTGAAACCTCTCCTGAAGTTCAGTAATTAAAATCACCTCTCCTGGACTTTTTGACACACTTGTAAGTAGGCCTCCTCTTCTTAAAATGGGATAAAAATGTCAAAAACACCCATGCAATTATTATTGAAGCTGGTTTTTATAAAAAAAAAATAAAATAAAATACAAACTTTATGAACAGAAAAAAAGAATTTAAGGTTGCAGTTTTACCTTAGACAATTGAAATGACAGGCGAATTTAAATAATAAATCAATTTCAGAAAAGAGATTGGAAGGGTTTGGGATAGAGATTGATATGAAGAAAAATTTTGAAAAATAAACATTTTGGACAAAAGTAATTGTACGAGTATTTTGGACATTTTTGTGCTCTTGTTTGAAAATTCTAACAAAGGGTTCAACTTTGTCAAAAAGTTCAGAAGAATTGATTGCAATTATTAAACTTCAGGGAAGGTTTCAGCCATGGTCAGAAACTTTAGGGGAGATTTCAGCAATTTACCCTAATATTTTTTGCCAGCAAGTTGTTCTATTAGATATCTAATATGATTTCCTATCTCTAAAAGATATTCCCTTCAGAAAACATATTTGCAGATAGAGAGTTGTTCAATTTTGATGTTATCATAAACAAGCATAGTGCCATGGCGAACATCACAACAGTCAGACCCTGAATTCATCCCTTGAACCACCTGTTATTCTGCATCCCATAATATAGGGGACCTGGGATCCATTCAATCGATTTATTCTATCCCTTGAACCACCTATTATTCTGCATCCCATAATACAGGGGACCTGGGATCCATTCAATTGATTTATTCTATCTTGTGGGCCACTTTCTTATTTAATATATCTCATCTTGTAGAGGATCTGGGATCTACAATCAATTGCCACCATCTAGAGATCTCTTCCATGCAACCTAATTAATCACACCGGTAGACATATCTTTCAATAATTACATATAAACTGGATTAGATGATGCTAACATATTCACCCATCCTGTTTAACTGGTAGTCAAAACATATATGAAGCAATACAAGAAAGAACCACGGTTATAATTTTTATTATTGCCACGTGTGTATGACAGAGGTAGCCCATACGGTCAGGCAGCTTTTATACCCATTAAGAGAGAAAATGGTATTCTTTCCGGTTCTTTCTTTCTAAAATGCAGAAATTTCCCATCCATTGAGAAAATGAAATATGCTATGTTTGTGATTGATATATGCGAATTGTATTCCTCTTCCCTTTTAGTACTTAGCAAGTCCGTCCACCTTAGGCCAAGTTTGAGAGTGCTTAAAAATAAGCATTTATTTTGGGCCGGGAGGACCATACCAACAAGCACTTATTTGCTTTTGGGAAATAAGCCTAAATAAGTGCTTATTTCCTTTCTGGCCTGTCTTGGCCGGCCACATCATTTTGAAATTACCTATACTTCCCCTGTTTGAAACAAGTGTGTTTTCAGTTTTCACCAAATGTTCATGAGCGCTTATTACAATAACCACTTATTTTTCGAATAAGCACTCCTAAACTTAGCCTTAGACTGGTATTTAGGTTTTCAGTATGCAAGTGAATATGAAAAGGGAACTGTTGGAAATAGCCTCCAGGCTCCAGGTTCCAGGTATACAAGTCCAAGCACCTTCTGTTGTATTCCTTTTTATAACTTATAGCTCTCTGTCAACTTCCTAAAGGGAAATATATTCCCAAGAGAAGAGACATACCATTCCTGCACCAAAATACTTGGCAAATAGTAGAAAGAAATCAACCAAAAAAAATGAGTACCTGGTGGTGTCTGCCATGGGATCCTATCCCTCTTCAGATTATCTCGTGGGGGTGCCTGGGGCCCCAGGATTGGCTTTAGATCAGCTGGAGCTTCCAAAGTAATGGGACAAATTTTTGAGGCAAGCTCCTCAGATTTAGAGTCCTCAAGTTTTGGCCTGACATGAGATTTATGTGCAGAAAGTAAATTGCTTATCTCAGACACAGAAGATTTGACTGGATCTTCGGTCTTCTGTTGGAGGTTCTCACTGGAAGATGAACCAGTCTTGCCACGCTTATTTTGCAAGAATATTGCTCGGATTTTTGCTTTCTGGATATCATCAGCTGACATTGGACGGCATTGCTTTGCAGGCACAGCTTTTCCAGCTTTCTGGCTCCTTCCACCTGTTTTTTGTCCCGGTTGTTCTACCAGCAAGACTTTCCTACGTTCTCTGGTTTCTGTAACTAGCTAAGAAAATATACTCTGAAACATGAACAATATTGAATGGATTCCAAATTATGGTTGCAGACAAGTTGGGTTGTCGCAGACTTATAGTGCAATCCTACTCCATCTATTTTCTTTTCTGATTTATATAATCCTTTTAGTTTTATCTATTTCTTACTTGCTTGACCTAATGTAATATCTATATAGGTTACACGCTCATTGGCTTAACTTTTCTCATAGAAAGCTGTTAAGAGCTAAATATGACATTGGTGTTTATAGCAATAATTATTGACCAAGAAAACACTGAATAAAATGTAATATCTAAACAGGCGAGGAGATCAGCAAAACAAATTGGAATATGTAAGAATCAAATATACAACTCCCATTATACCAGATTTGGACAGAAATATCTGATTATACCCATTTCAGCATCACATAGCTTATGAGTTCAGGTTAGAGTTGTTTTATGACCTGGATACCATCAATGAAACACAGAAATCAGCTAGGTTGGACCATTGCCATATTCCATGTTATATGTTAATATACCCCGTGCTATGTGATAACCAATAAATGTTTATTAGAATAGCTACTAATTACTGTATTCCGAGCAAAAGATTGTGGCTTCAACCCATAGGGTACTTTTGCACTTTATTTCATTCAAGATACACTATGCGGCTATGCCTAAATGGCTAAATCTGATTAAATGGATCAAGGACAAAGTTATGATATACCTAGATCTAATCCAAGTCTGAACCTGTTACACATCCTTTAAACCACTCAAATATATAGAGCAGAAGGAAACTAGGAACCTAAAAGTAAGATGGAGTTGAGTTAAGAATTTCTACTGAAACTAAAAGAAATTAAAAAAAAAAAAAATCATCTGGATTCCCAGAACTGGTAAAATAAATATAATCAGATGCCAACACAAAGCAGAATTTCCTTGGAGCTCCAAATCTATTAGAGAAAAAGAACAAAATAGAAACTTCCACAATACTCTGTTCCATCCTGTCAAATAGGACTTGGACTAATGGTTTATGTATGTCAATCAACATTAAGACACTAATGTAAAGATTGATGAATAAGCCTTCCACCAAAACATAAAAGTGGAGGAAGAAGTCATTTACAAATTCCAAGGTAAATGGAGAAAGGAATCAAAAGGGGACCGGTGATTGGTATGTCACAGTTGAACAAAATGAAGAAAATGGACAACAACATGAATTTCCATAGCACCTCCCATCATTGTTAAATAATCTGTAAGAACTAAGAACTAGTGTCAAATCAACGGAACAAATCTTTCTGGTTTAGCACCAACTCCTTAGTCATTCCAAAAATATGGTTCTTTGGCATCCCTCCAATTCACAAATGCAATATTTTGGATGGTTGCTTGCAAGTGATACTGTGTGATGATTAATATGAGAACAACTTAATTGGCTAATGGATTTATAAAACAACCCACCAGCTCTACATGTGTGGTTGGGGGGACTCTTCCATAGGAATTCATCATAAGTCCATATATGACTTGCCAGCAAAGGTTTTCAGAGTTTGCAACCTGAAAGGAATGCAGCAAATAAGTTTCCTATACCACAATTGGAAGGCAATTATTGAAATGAATAGTGGATAAGGTGGTTTTTTCTTTTCTTTTCACTTGCCCTGGTAAACAAAGAAAAAGAGTTCATTCAAAGAAGTAGTTTTGAAGGGTGCAGGGCCATGGAATAAATAAGCCATTGACTTTCTTAATGAAAGGAAAGAGCTTGAGAACCCATCAAGTTGGAAAGTAAGTGGAGATCATTCTGTGAAAGGTAGAGAACGTTCGCAAATAATGAGGGTAGGGTGCAACATGGAAACAGACTAGTTCAATTTTCAATATGTTGGTTTGGGGATTTTTATGAGAACAATCTCCTCTGCAATTAAGAAATCAATCAATGATTGCTATGAAAAACATAAATAGATTACTCTTAAAGAGAGAGACGATCCAAATGTTACTCTTCAATATGTTGTTTGGGGATTATTATGAGAACAATCTCCTCTGGCAATTAAGAAATCAATCAATTACTGCTACAAAAAGTATAAATAGAACAATCTCCTGTTGCTGGATTTCCATACTGGTGTTCAAAAAATGTTTATGAGCAGACCCAAATTTGAAACTCAAATTTAGGATAACCACGGCAAACACACTCCTGATTCTTCAGGATCTTAGAGTCAATTTTATAAATTGGATGCATGGTGCATCAAATAAAGAGCGTGCCAGAACCAATGCTACTAGCAATCACAAGGTCACATCCTGCAATCCAACACCTGAAGTGATGTTCACATTGTTACCAAAAAATGTGATCTTAATATTATGTCCACGAATGCTTTGTGAGGCTGCAGAATCTCCAATAATAAATCCTCTGGTTTGGAAAAATGTTTTCTCACACAAGCGCTCAGTTAACTTCAGTGTTCACCTATAGTGCTCAGAAACTTTTAAGTCTCAACTCCATTTGCATTCTGAATTGTCTCAGTTGATCTGGCATTTTGTTTAAGATCAAAATTTTGTTTAGAAAGCCCTAGAGTCATTTTCCTTTCAGACCTAACATATGGTCTAATGAGCCAAATTGAGAATAAATCATTTTTAAGAATTCAATTCTAGATTATCCTTTTTAGATTAGCATATACTTTGAGGTGGCATTTAATGACACTTAATGGTCCTCTTAAGTATGAGAAAATGACTTTTCAGAGGTCCCATTTCATTTGGTAGTGCAACCTCTGAGATAAATCACTTAATTGTAAAATTGACTCTTAGTGGCTAAGAGGACTCTTCTCTGAACTAGGGCTGTCAATGGGTCAGGTCTGGTTTGAGACAAATGTACCAGTCCCATTCCGATTATTAATCGCGAAAATAAAAAGACCAAGAACCAAATTATTATTAATCAGGCCAATAAGGTCTGACCCAATTATACTTGACATCTATAATTACCAATCATAATAACAATTCATTTCTGATAATATAACCTCAATAAATATGGTAGTAAGATACTAAACTGTTTATGTATTGATGAAAAATGTGTTTACAACCATAATTATCTTATATATTGTTTATAAATTTACTCTGTTTAGAAAAATATAACAAAATTTACAAAAAAAAAACAGGATATTTTTATACATTACTAACCATATAATTGCTTTGGGCTTAAGTTGATTAGGAATGGCAAGAGCTGGCCCTAACCCAATTATTAATCGAGACAAAAGCATAGAACCAGAACCAACATATGTTGAGTAAACCCCATCCATTGACAGCCTTAGTTTGAACAAATCCGGATCTACTCCTCACAGAGCATTCCTTGCATCAACCTCACAACACATCCCAGTCGCACATCAGAAAACATATCCCATACTTTGTTTTGATATTCATGGGGAGATGTTCCCAATACAATACAGGGTAGTATGGGCTGTGAGTTAGTGATAGGTGCGCTATGTGAGGAGCAAATCCCAATTCAGTTTGGACGTGCTAGGAGCCATTTTAAATGTTTTTTTTCAAAATTAACCCTATGAAACTTTCTTTTTGACATAAATACCACTGTTTTGCCTTCCCACTAAAAAACACTCTTTTCACCAACATTTCCCTTTGCATTTGAGGTGCCACTGACTGCAGCGTGCAAACTGATGAGTGTTGAACTTCACTTCGAAATGACTCAAGGTGCGGCTTCTTAGGTCATTCAGCCCTTCCTGTCTACAAATAGGATCTAAAAATACAAGAAAACAAATTTCGTTTATCTTTATACCTTTTATAACATTAGCAAGTACTAGAATGTAAGTCAATTCACAAATAAGAATTTAACCAAGCTTTAGCATGCTTTACATTGTATAACTTCATGCTTTTTTAAGTTTTTCTCGATGTTGAGATTCCACTGAACCTCCACATAGTACCAATGAGAGTTGAAATTTTAGCTCTCTTGATTTTACTTTGTAAAAGCTTCCCCCACTCTCAATCCAAATTTTGAGTTATTGTCTTTGGCCTTTTATTTTGAATTCCAAACCTTCGGATATGTGACCAGGCTAAGTTTTGGTTTTTCTGATATTCCATGACCTAGTGCAAGACCTAGCTGTTTTCTCTTGAGAATTCCCACATAAACTTATAAGCCCCATCTGCTGCGTCTGAAATTTGTGAACCCATGAAGAAACTTTTAGTTTCTTTATGAACTGATGAAGGTTTAAAGCCATACAGAAAACTCATGCTTTGGGAGACCATCAAATAGTCCTGAGTTCATAAATGACCCTGAAAATCAAGCACTGCAAAGCATGATCTGTAAATTTCCTGCATCGACTTAGTTTTGCCAACAATAAGGGAACCTTGTCCAGACAAGAGAAAAGGATCAATAATAAGTGGGCACCTTTTCCCCAAGGGTAACCGCATTAAGAGCTAATGAAAATAACCGAATCATTCATGTACTGGCCAAATTATTTGACTTCACCTCAGGGGTATCAAAGTTTTAAGTTGGAGTGGTATCTTTAAAAGAAAGAAAAGACAAGATGGTTTCCCAAGAGCAAAGAATTAATCTTGACCATCCAAACAATGTACCATAATTTTAATTAATCTCAATCATTCAAGTAGAGCACCAAATTTTCAAAAAAAAAAAATGTAAGCTAAATAAAATGATATACTAAACAACACCTAAAATTTGGGCCTAACATTAGTCGACTAATTCATGATGTAAAAATGTTTCCTCCAATATAACCCATCCAAAAGATAAATCTAATCAACCTAAACATCTTAACCATCAAATTGGTCTCATTAGATCGTTGAACTAATTGCAATCATCCAAGTAACAAATCAGCAAAAGAATCTAAGCTATCAAAATGGTCTCCTAAGAGCAGAGACATAATCTTGCCCATCCAAGCACTGTACCAAGCTTTCAACTAATCTTGGCAATTCAAGTACAGCACCAAAGTATCAGCCCGTATCAGCTGATACGTATCGTGGCGGTGGCTTCCCTATACAAGGGGTGTATCGGGGTTCTGACTGGTTCAAAGGGTAGAGCCCTAAACCAGCCCTCCTGAACTGGTTTTGAAAAAAATATAAAAACGCTATCGATATCACCCGATACACCCCTACCAGCGTATCGGGCATATTGACATTTTGAACCTTGGCCAAAATAAAATGATGTCCTCAACATCGTAAAAAATCTGGGCCATCAAAATGGCATCCTAAGATCAAATCAACTAATTCCAACCATCCAGCTGATGTACCAAAATTTAACCAATTGGTCACAGTAGACTATTGTAATGGCTTGGATATGTTGATTTGGTATCTTATTTGGGTAAACAAATTAATTGAAATAGCAGTACATGATTTTCGATGGATGAGATTTATTGACTGATCTTTAGAGGCCAATTTACTTGATTGGGCAAGATTAGTTTTAAGTTTCAGTATATTGCTTGGATGGCCAAGATCAACAAATCTGAGCCATTAAAATGGTTTGTTTCCAAAGAGATCAATGGATCAATCTCAACCATCTAAATGATGCCAAGATTTCAACCAATATAGACCATCCAAATAATGCACCAAATCGCCCAATCAAGGCCAACAAAGTAGTCCTTATGGCAATGCATTTATCAAGCCAATCCAAATGTCCCAAATTAAAGAAAAGATCCGGTTCAATAAAGTGGCATGGATATAGATCAGTGGATTTGAGCCATCTAAGTGATGTGCCAGAGTTTTCACATGGTAGACTAAAAAATAATAATTCCAGTAGCCAACATTGGATACAATTCGATCTAGATTTCTTGCTTTAAAAGCATAAAAATGACATATGGCAATTAGGTACTTTCATTCACCATTAACACCACCAGGAGGTTCAACAATTATATGAATATATTCAATATAGAGAGCTAAGTGTTACATATCCCAAAGTACAGGAGGCCTCTGTAATTTACCCTTTTTAATCAAGCAACCCTATACTTTCCAAAGATTGTAGGAGGCAACAAACAGCACAATACTGATTACAAGTCCCAAAATATTTCAGACTTGTACCCCCCCCCCACCCAACAGGTGCACCCCATAGAAGATTACAATCAGAATTAGAGCCCCATGGAAGCCAACTGTGGTGCATTTTTAGACGTTTGAATCTCAATTTAATGTGTTCAAGTCCTCTAAGTGACCAATGAAATCCCTGGTGTGATAATGCCATCAAAAATTTACACTGCCCAAAGCATAAGGCATATTATATGGCTCAAGATTGCTTGTTTTTTTTATCAGAAACGATAATTTTCATTAGAGATAAATTAAACTGAAATACGGAAATCAACCCTTATTAGAAAAGGTTGATCCAATAAACATCAAACATTACAGCACTGCCCAATAAAGACTCTCCCTTACAGTCCCTTGTTTTGCTAGGGCATCAGAAAAACCATTTGCTGATCTCCTTACCCACTTGAACCAAACACCCACCTCCCTTGTTATGCTAAGAATTTCCCTTATCAGTTGTCTATATTGCCAATTTCCCAGCTACCCTGATTGCATCCACCCAATTACCAACTTGGAGTCTCCCTCTATCTCAATCTGCTGTAGCCCCAATTGTTTGGCCAGTTTTACACCTTGATGTAAATTGATTCTTTCATATCACTTATGCATATTTTATTATTGACTTTCCAGCAACAATCAGAAGACCTAATTGGTGCTGGCACCTATTATTTCAGTTGATTTGGACGTTCTGATATAAAACCAGTACTTGGGGTGCAACATCCACTCAAAGATGACCAAGTAGTAGTTTTTCTGTTTGCATGACATTTAGTAACTAATCCTCTCACAAAAGAATTTTTCTTGACAAAAAGGTGATCCCTCCTTTCAAAGATGATCAGGTATTGTTGCCTTTCCAATGGAGCAAAGTTATTGTGACATCCTCTCACATCTAAGAATCATGTTGGATTAAATTTTATAAACTTGCAGGCTGTTCAAATCTAATATTAATGGAAAGAAAAACAAAGGATGTGCTTTGTTATGGAGGAAGAAAACTAATATGTAAAACATAACTTATCTGTTTCATATTCCTGGTGTTATACAAATTTAATTTATTATTCATCCTGCAGCAGTCCACAAGGCAAAAGCAATCTGCATTCAACACCCCAAAGATTTATTTATATATTTATCTTTTAATAATCTTCAATATATCAAACTTTTCATAATAATTAACCACCAGGTTAGCTCCCAAATAATGTAAAAATTGAATTTGTATCTTGGGCTTTGAACTGATTGAAAGTACTTGTAGGTTGAACAAAATTTTCAAGCACCCTACAAAGAAGTGTATTGGTTTTGCACATTCTGTGTAAGTTTTTTCCTAGGAAGTGTTACTGAAAGTGAAACTAATCACCAAGTTCATTCCTGATTCCAACATTTTTCTTATACTGTTATATGTCCACTGATTTAATAAAAGACGAAAAGAGGACTTTCATATCTTGAGCTTACATGAGGGCTAAGGTTATCAGAGGTTCACCAATATGTAGAGCACATTATTATGATTTTCCTTGATTTTACAAACTTATTTTAGTATTATCTAGGAATGTTATACAAAAGCAATATTTATGACCACTTAGCATTTAATATTCCATTTCCCCTGGCTTTACTGGGGCTTTAAAATTTGTGTTGTTGTTGTTAAAAGAAACAGAGAAGTAATAAGGATACGTTTTGATAATATGCCCCTTGTTTGCTTCCTGTTTGAATCATCTGCAGATGCAAGGAGTAGTTTTGCAGATTGAAGTGGTTGCAAATCCCTGAATGAAGTTCAAGCTTGGTGTTAACAACATTGGAAAATAATTATAGCTGAAGTTGAACTGAGGTATGGCCTCAGAAAATAATTAGAAGCATAATAAGCATACCTGTTTGTCTCTGAACTTTCAAAAGTGAGAGTGAGAATCTCCCCCTGCAGAAAAGGAATAAGAACAAGATTTCATAACAGGGTACCATGGGTTGCAGGAATCATTTATAACACAAAGCACATACAGGAATATCTTTTGACTTCCATGCCTCATCACTGAGAGTCTCACCAATCCTGCACATGACTGAAGTTAGACAAATGGACAAAAGGAGCATACGCACATGCACACACACACACACACACACACACATAGAACAAGCATAAGAAGTGATAAAACATGCCTCAACTTTCTGATTATCTCTTGATGTGCTTCACTGGGTGAATTAATGGAAGTAGGTTTCTTTAGAGCTTGGCTTCTCACAAATAGTTTGCTCCATCTCAACAATAGAACCCTTGCCCTGTTCGATATGTCTGATCTTCAAATCAGATATATGAGTTTCAAAAGACTGATAAAAATTCAGAAAGACCGCTGATGAACAGAACATCTTTCTTGCAGAATAAAATAATAAAAACTCATCAAGACATCAAAAAAAGTATGCAATTCCCAGAAAGTTCTTCAGGACAGATATTCACAAATTAAAAAAAAAAAAAAAAAGTTAGATGATTGCTGAGCCAGTTTCCTGCTAACTTCCTATAGGTCATAATTTCCTGCTTTCAAAACCCACTGGTTTGCCAAAGTTCATTTCAATTACCAAGTTCTGCAGGCAGCAGATTTTTACCTCCAATTTGGGCATAGAAAAATGAAATTTCAAATTTGATCCCAAATTAAAGGTATCATCATCCAAGACTCACCCCAACTATATGAAGAGCTACACGAGTCTATTTCGCCATTCCACTCTATTCGATGTCATATCCAGTGTTTAATTATGAGAACTTAAATCATTTATTGCTACTTCAACCAATGTCCTTTTTGATCTACCCCTAGCCCTTCTAACCCCTTCAGCTTGCAACAGACCACTTCTTATAGGTGCTGTCAGTGGTCTTCTATACATGTGACCAAACCATCTTAATCTACTTCCTCTCATTTTACCACCTATTGGAGCTACTCTTAGGTTCCTTCAAATGACTTCATTTTTGGCCCCATCCCTTCTACCTTTTCTGCTCATCCATCTCAGCATACACATTTCTACCACGCTCATTTTTGGACATGTTTCTTGACTGCCCAACACTCTGATCCATACACCAACTGTTTTATAAAATTTTCCATTTAATCCAAGTGGTATTTATCTATCGCATAAGACTCCAGATGAACCTGCCCATTTTCCCCATCATGTTCTAATTCTATGGGTGACACCCTCCTCAATCTCTCCCTTGTTATGAATTATCGAACTAAAATACAGGAAAATGTTGCATCGAGTTATCTCTTGGTCTTCAATCCTAAGTGTGCCCTGATCTGCACTCTTTTATTATTAAATTAACATATCATATATTCTGTTTTGGTCCTACTTATTTCAAAACCCCTTGTTTTTAAGATATTGGTCCATAAACTTAACTTCGCATTTAATCATTCATTAGTTTCATCAAGTAAAACGATGTCATCAGCAAGCAACATGCACCATGGGACCTCCTCTTGAACATGCTTAGACAATTCATATATGACAGCGCAAATAAATAAGACAAAGTGTTGAACCTTGGTGAAGACCCATATTAGTTATAAAATCTGATGTCTTTCCTAGAGGTCTTCTAACATTGATTGTTGCACCCTCATGCATATCCTTAATTAGGTTTATATACCTATTTGGAACTCCTTTCTTTTCCAAGACCCTCCATATTATCTCCCTTAAGGACTCTATCATATGATTTCTCTAGATCAATGAACATCATATGAAGATCCCTTTTCTTCTCTCTAAAATAAACCCAAATTGGTTCTTTGATATACTTGTTTCATGTCATAACCTTTTTTTGATGAATGAAAATAATTTATTAAATCAGAATATAAGGCAATACAGGAAACCCATGAAGAGGCACAAGATGTTACCTCTTCTAACAAAGTATTACATCAATTAAGAACTGGATAAGCAGAAATAAAATTACATAGCAGCCCAAAACAAATGATCCCTTGAAACCCCTTGCTTAGCTAGTCCATCCGCTAAGGAATTTGCTGATCTTTCTAACCAAAGAGAGGTAACTGTCATATTTCTTGTGAGCCAATTGACTTTCCTCAATAAATCTCCATATCGCCACATAGCTGAAGCTGGCTTTATCAGCCATCCCACAACAATTTTAGAGTCTCCTTCAACTATCAAGTGTTGAACTCCTAACCGTTCAGCAATCTGGATGCCTTGTACAGCCGCTAAGATCTCTGCTCTATTTGAGTCTCTTATTTCCACAGGGCCTGAAAACAAAGCTAGGATGTTGCTCTCTCTATCTCTCAGCACCCCTCCAATCCCCGAAGGGCCTGGGTTTCCTTGGCTACTACCATCAAAATTCAGCCTTGCCCAACCTTCAGGCGGAGGCTTCCACACTGCAGCTGCCTTGTCCCTCCTCATATGACTAGTGGCTACCGCCTTCCAGTTACTCCAGATGTCATCAAAGGAAAACGTATGAAAGAAGTCCAAAGTTCTTAGCCAATGAAAGGCTCTAGTCAATATACAATCCTCAACAGTTTGTAAGCTTCTTTCCTTTTCTTTGAACACCCTAGCATTCCTTTCTTCCCAAATTGTCCACAAGGCTGCTGCTCTAATACATCTCCACATCATTTTTTCTTTTTTTGTAGGCCACACAAAACAAGAAGGATCGAACAGCTGACTTAATTCTGAGGACAGATTCCACCTGCATCCAAACAAAGAAAAGATCCAACTCCAAATATTTCATGTCATAACCTTTGCTCAATTATTCTCTTCCAAAGTTTCATAGTGTGGCTCATGAGTTTAATCCCCCAATAGTTGTTACAACTTTGTATGTAGCATTTGTTCTAAAATATAGGCATCATATTACTCTTTTCCCATTCATCGGGTATCTTGTTTTATTCCATATCTTATTGAATAGCTTAATAAGCCTACCCCTCCCATACCTTTCCACACTTCTATCGGAATACCATCAGGTCCTAACACCCTCCCCTTCTTCATCTTGTGCACCTCTTTCCTTTCATAATAAACCTACCTCTACATGATGGTACATGTTATTTTTAACACTACTTTTTTGATAAATTTATTTTTAACACTATTAAGATTACTAATATCTCCTCCGTTAGTGCCCTGCACAATGTTTCATTTTATAATTTTTCAAAATAGCTTCTCCACCTTTTTTATTTCCTTATATTTTACCAAGACAATTTGATCTTTCACTTTAATGCATCTAGCATGGTTTAAATCGCTGCCTTCCTTTCTCTCATCTTTGCTAGTTTAAAATTTTCTCTTTCTCCCTCTTTAGTGCCTAATGTATGATTGAGTTCATCATACGACTTAAATTTAATTTCACTTTCTTTTTTAAGTTTCTTTCTTATGGTTTTATATTTTTCCAAGTTTTCTCCATTTTTAGTTTTTGTCAATCTTTGTAATATGCCTGTTTTAATCTGATTATATTTTGAATTTCTCCATTTGACCACCAAGCTTCTTTAGCACTTATCCATTTCCCTTCAGATTCTCCTAAAATGTCCTTTGCTACTTTCTTTATTTGCCATTTCAAACCACATGTCATTAGTGTCTCTAATCAAAATTTTATTTTCTTTCTACTATCAGCCTGTCTCTAAATTGTACTGGTTTTCCCACCTAATTTTTGGACACCTATTCTATTACCTATTTCTCTTCCATTATCTAGTGCCCACATCTACCACCACTAATCTATGTTGTGTGGTTAAGCTTTCATCTAGAATAGCTTTGCAATCCTTACACCATTCGTTTTGTTGTCCTAGTAAGGAAAAATCTATCTTATGTTTGGTCCACTTTTAAATGTCATTAGGTGTTTATCCTTCTTTCTGAAAAATGTGTTTAAAGTTGCCATATCATAAGCTATTGCAAATTCTAAGATTGTATCTTTTGTTTCACTCCCACACTTCTTTTCTCCACATGCCCATTTAGGTTTTCTCCTATAAAAATATTCTTTTCATTTGGTATTTCTTGAATTTATCTTTCTTAGGTTTCCCAAAATTGTATTTTGATGTTTCCTCTAAACCCACTTGAGGTGCACAAGCACCAACTGTGTTGATGATTTCCTCACCTAAAACAAGTCAAATTAAAAGTATTCTATCTCCAATTCTTTTAACAGTTACAGTTTCATTTTTTTAGATCTTTATCTACTATTATTGTTACTCCAATTCCATTATTTACTTCTCCCGTGTATATAATTTGTAGCCATCAATTTCTTTAACTTTTTTACCCTTCCATGATTTGTCTTAGTGTCACACAAACCATGATTTCTTCCACTCTAAGGTGACAATAACAAATGCTACAGTGACCTCTAGCTTTTTGAAATATAGATGCAAATTTACAACTTGGCTTGCTGACACCAAAGTAGCTTATCATATACAAATTGAAAACTATATGGTCCTTTGGAGATACGCAAATAAAAAAACCAACTACATACAGAACTCCAGATTCTGTTTCTGCTTTTAGTTTTACAAAAAAAAAAAAAATGCAGTAAGATCACCTTAGCAACAAGCAGACAGCTGAAAAACAAATTAAATCAATAACTTCTCCATATTATGGCCAACCATAAGGAGTGTTTGCTTGGTGTAGTGGTAAATCTCGCACTAGCAAGCATAGGAACGCAGGTTCAAGTCTGACAGTGACCACTTTGTGAAAAAGAAAAAAAAACATTAGGTCTGAGACACCAAATAGCTGGGACCAACATGGGCTACTTGCCTTTATTATCNCAACAAAAAGAAATAAGAGGGAAAAGCTATCCAAGCCAAAATATGCAAGACCCTATTCTAAACAGGTAAAGGGATGTAGTATTATCCTATGGAAAAGATTATTATATAGAAATGAGCACAGCATTTCTGTGTGCAAGTGCATACATGCATATGCATGGATTGGCAGACATGTGTACTGGCAGAGAGAGAGATGAGAGAGAGAGAGAGATGCGAATAAATGTTTAAACTAATACACACCTGATGTCCGGTAAAACCGCAACCTGTTAACAGTTTGCAATATAGCAGACATGTGTACTGGCAGAGCTTTATGCAATGGCAGGTGACAAAGAACCTACACAGAGCCATTACAATCTAGTCTAAATTTCATACTACTCAGAGAAAATAAGACCAATAGAGCAACCAAGAATGCACCTTAAAAATGACAAGAAGAACTGTTGTTTGTTCCTCTAAAACTGCTTGGCTCAACCAATTTGCTAAAATCATAAGGCCATCTTTAGTTAAAAACCTGAAAATATAAAGGGAAATACTTTTGTGAGCTAATAAAACATTTGGAGCATCTTTATCTTCACAAGATCAGAAAAGTGCCTGTTCTGTACCAAAGTAATACAGAAGCATTTTGTATCTGCAGTACCCACTCCATCAGCTTCACCTGCCCAGAAAACGTTTCTTCTTTCCTCATCAAATTAAAAATATTTTCAAGGAAGTTTTTATCAGAGCTGTCTATGCCTGATATAGTTTCATCCTGTGATGAGCAAGATGGTGCTTCTTGAACAGTGTCAGGGGCCACAGAGTTCAAAGGAATTGGACAAATAGGCATGACAGGATCAGAATTGGTGGAGAACTCATCCTGAGATGCATTGCATGCCTTGGATTTGATCACCTTGTCCTTTGACAAGCGGACAAGCTTCCTAACCCTTGAACGCTGATTAGCAAAGAACTCCCGAACCTGTAATCAGTAAATAAATTATGGAAGTAAGCAATCTAATGATCTAATTTGGCAAAACAAACTTCTAAAACACCCTCCAAGTTGAAGAAGTGAAGTAATCCCAAAAGACAAGATCGTCATCATCTAAACCGTGTCCCAACTATATGATGTCGGCTACATGAATCCTGTTTTTCCATTCAATACTGTTCAGTATCATATCCATTGTTAAATTATGACCGCTTAAATCATTTCTTACCACTTCAACCCATGTCCTTTACAGTCTGCCCATAGCCCTTCAAGCCCCTTCAACTTGTAACAGATTGCTTCTTCTTAAGGGTGTTGTAGATGTTCTTCCCAGAGACGAGATATAAATCTAATATCTATTTTCCATGGTACAAGTAGTTCAAAACATAAACTAAGCAGGAGCTGTAGTTCAAAAGAATAAGTACAATAAAAAACAACCACATTTTTCAACAACAGAAATATATCAAGATGTTTTAGATCAGGTTAAACAGATAACGAGTTGTCATTGTTGTTAGGCATATCAAGTGGCAAGACTGAAAGATGGCTTACGGTGACATGTAAGACAACTGGAGATTTAAAATTCAAAATTTTAGAACAGAAACTGATAAAGATCCCCCACTCCAGGAATTTAAAACTCTACAAGCATCAGTGAATATCATTCAATTAGCAGCCAAAGTGTGAACAAGAAGCTGTGGCAGATAGAAAGGCATATATAAGAGAAACAACAACCTGTGTGACCGTAACACCAGAAAGAGCACTGATTTCACGAGATTCCTTCTTGCTAATTGTATCTTTAATAGAGAAAACTGATTGCATATATTTCACGGCCTTGGGGTTTAGCAAATCCCTTGGTCGTTTTCCTGGGGGGGAAAAAAGTAACTTGATTAGGAGGTGGCTACTTGTGGTTGCAGAAACGTCATCATTTATATCAATAATGAGAAAAAATGTAAATGTAGTATAGGAAAAAGAGAAAACTTCATGAAAGATACCAAGACAACCTCTCATAAATAGACAGAAATAATCAGGCATTGCTCTGAAACAAGGACACTTTAACAGTGTTGGGCTCAGTGTTTTTCTGTTATAAATACTATCGACTCTTGAAACAAACTTCCATAAATAAGCAGGGAAAAAGTATCTGTTCAAAACAAGGATACTTTAAGTTCAAGTGTAAAACTATCAACTTTCCTATGACAATAATCTCAAAGAACCTCAAGAAATAACTGTGAACTTCAAGGACACCAACTCACCAAACATCATTGTTGTAATCCTTTTTCTGCAAGTGTGGAAAGCTTAAAAGAAATTTCAATGGCTATAACTTTTTTTTTTAAAGGTAAGGTAAAGTATGTATTAAGTATCAAAAGTATAAAGATCTGTACAAGAGGCTATACAATCAGAATTAAAGCCCCCCAAAAAAATTCACCCTCAGAAAAGAACCGGAGCAAAACACTTCTTTAAACATATCAGAAATAGACAACCAGCTCCTCAGCTCTTCCATTACAAAGTTGATCACCCCAGCCTCAGAATTGGCTTTCTGTTCAAATAACCTGTTATTCCTTTCTAACCAGATTGCCCACATAACTGCAGCTGGAATCACAGATCACACAAGCTTTCCTTCTTTGGACATTCCTTGGACTCTCCACCCTTGAAATAGAGAGGATTGATTCAGGCCAAACCCAAACCAGGTTAACTGCTCTAAGAAAGTGCTGCTACACCACTGCCGAGAAGCCACAGTGGATTCCGGTAGCATATTGCACAGAGGACAATTCACATCTGCAAGACTGAAACCCCTCCTTATCAGCATTTCCTTGGTAAGACACTTCCCTTTTGGAGACACCCACAAAAAGAATTTATCTTTCAAAGGAGCTGAAGCTTCCCAAATGGCTATATTTTTTTTTCATTAACAAGATGAAAAGAGCTTCTTTAGTTTTTTTTTTTTCAGCTAAAAAACCTATCAGCATAACTGAGTACAAGGGTATAATTAATGCTTCAAACTTCAAAGTGGTTAATACAAAGCCTACCTAAGAAAAGCCAAACAAACGATACACAAGGGTCCAAAACCCCTCAACTAAGGGGTGAGCAAAAAAAACCGAAAAACCAAACCGACCGAAACCGAATCGAAAAATTGATTAACCAAACCGGTCGGTTCGATGTTTTCAGAAAACCAAAAGTTTCGGTCCGGTTTTGGCTAACCATTTAAAAAACCGCTGATTAACTGAACCAACCGATATATATTTTTATATAATATTATATATATTACATTTTATTTTTTAAAAAATCTAATAAAAAGTGATAAAAACGTTTGACAATCTGAGAGTGTTCAAACTGCCGAACTGAGAGCTGAGACAGGTTCGCCAGCCTGCCTCACTGCCTAACAGTCTGAGTCGTTTGACAGATTGACACCCGTTGGCCGCTACGTAGGCCTTTCTTTCCCTCTCTCTCTCGGACTCTCACTCTCTCATACTCCCTCTCTCCCTCTGAGATCTCTCTCATACTCCCTCTCTCCCTCTGAGCTCTCTCTCTCTCTCTCGCCTCTCAGTCCCTCTCTGAACTCTCTCTCTCGCCTTTCAATCCCTCTCTGAGCTCTCTCACCTCTCAGTCTCTCTCTGCTCTCTCTCTCTCTCTCACGCCTCTCGAACTCTCTCTGGCCCTTTGGGTTCTGGCCTTTGGCGCTCTGCCCTCCAACCAATTCACCGACGGCCTCCGACACCAGCGTTCTGCAACACTAGAAGCTCGGCTGCGGGTTAGAGGCTAATGCATCTCAACAACACCAACGATCCCAATTATCGTGTTTTTCCTTTTTTATTTTAAGGGCATAAAAAAACTGAAAAACCGAACCTCGGTTAACTGGTCCACTGATTAACCGATCGACCGGTTGTATCAGTTCGGTTGAATGTAAAAACCAAACCTATCGGTTCGGTCCAGAAAATTACCCCACAGTTCGGTTAACCGAACCATGAGCACCCCTACCCTCAACTTGTTAAGTCTTTGTCATCAAGGACTAATCCCAGACAAACTGCCCATTCCAAGATTTACTTCAAGCCCAAGGATTCTCTTTCAACAATTAGGATCAGGTTGTATATATTTTTTACCAGTTCTAAGCCTTGATCATCAATAAATAACATCATTAGCAAACTGAAGGTTTAATACTACTATGCCCTCCCTCCCAATCTTCAAAATCATAATAGCCCATGCTAGGTCAGCTCTAGGTATAAGCCTACTAAATAAAACCCCCACCAGAATGAACAAAAAGGCTGAAAGTGGATCTACTATGTGATATAAGCCTCTTGGTGGGGGGGGGGGGGCATAGGCAGTTCCATTAACTAGGACCAGAAAGTTTACTGCTGAGATACAACCCTTTAGACATTTTTTTTCAATAACTCTGAAATGATTTCATTAATTGGAAAAAATATGGTACAACAAGAAGTTGTGAAAGAAACCAGCTTTAGAAGCTGACCCAAGACAAAATTACAAATGTACCCAAAACATGTGTTCTTTGAACCCTCTGCTTTGCTAAGCAATCAGCCAAACTGTTGGCCGATCTCCTCACCCATCCCACCTGGATTGTCATGTCCCTTACAACCATTTAAATCTTTGGAATTCATTCTTCAGCTGCCATGTCACCTCTTCCCCTTTCTGCAACCATTTTATCACAGTTTTTAAGTCTCCCTCGATGATCAGTCTATTAATACCCAACTCTTTAGCCTTCTCAACCCCACTGCAGCTAGAAACTCTGCCCTTGCCACATTGCCTTGCTCCACAGGACTGGAGTACAAAGCAATGATGTTTCCATCTTCATCTCTAATGCCCCCCCAATGCCTGAGGGGCCTGGATTACCCACACAACTCCCATCAAAGTTCAACTTCTTCCAGCCATCTGTTGGAGGAGACCATGCCTCAAAAAGTTGTTGTCTTGTAGATGAAGAGGCAGCAATAAGTCCCCAAACCCTAAAGAAGTCTTCAACCTTAAAAACTGAAAACATCTTTAAGCTTTTTGCCCACTGTGCCACCCTCAATGTTATTGTTTCAACCAAGGCTTCCTTACATTTTTCCTTCAAATATTCTTGCATTTCTTTCCTCCCAGATAGTCCAAAGTAGTGCTACATCTCCAATAGGATCTTACCCCTCCTTGTCATGCTACTAATACCAATAGGGCTGAATAAACCTTCCAATCTATCAAGAGAAGACCACCTGCACTCAAAAAGGGAAGTAAACCAATTCCAAATAAAACTGACAAAAGGACGAGAGATTAGAAGGCGGAAAACAGTCTGAACATTCATCTTACACAGGACACACCAGTTGGGGGACAAACACCAATTTGGTCTTTTTCTTTGAAGTACATCAAAAGTATTAATACAACCATGAAATACTTCCCAACAAAAAGCATTGATTTTAGGGGGAATGGGAGGGCACCAAATTTCTTTGACTGGGAAAGGATGAGAAGAGGTGGCAACCAACGAGTGTAGAAAGGATTTACAAGAAAACGACCCGTCAGAATTAGGACCCCAAATCCTAGAATCTGAACTGCCTTCTCCCAAGAACAATGAGTTCAGCAAGCCTAACAGCTCAGACACTACAAGAAATTCATACTCTCTAAGGTTGAATTAAAGCCGAAGTTCCAATTCAACCCAGAGAAGGTTGACTTAGTAAATCTGAAATAGGCCTATCCTTGAATCTGGAAAGATCAAAGAGAGAAGGAAATTTCTCACACAAAGGAGTATCCCCAATCCATACATCCTCCCAAAATCTAATTTTACTACCAGAAGATAAGTCATACCTGATATGGTTTAGGAAGGTAGGGAGAAAATCATGGATAGCTTTCCAGGGAGCAGCCAAGGTGGCCCTACGAAGAAATCCAACATCCCACCCATTGCTCAACAAGTCATGAATGCTTGCCACAAGTTTGTGCCATAATTTCTCATTTTCGCTTGGAAACCTCCAAAGCCATTTACCAAGCAAGGCCTTATTCTTCAATCTAACATTACCAATTCCCAAGCCCCCTTCATCCTTCAATTTCACCACCTTTTCCCATCTAACCAAATGATATTTCTTAGTTTCCCTTGGCTCCCAAAGAAAATCCCTCATGATTTTTTCAATTTTCCTCACTATCCCTTGTGGCATCCTAAACATTGACATGTAGTACACTGGACGATTTGCTAGGATCAATGTTCTAAAAGCGCAAGGCGCAAAAAAGGCACAGGGGTCAATTTGCGCCCGAGGCACAAGGCGCACGCCTTTTTAAGCAAGGCGCAAAAATAAAAAAGGGTAAAAATAAAAAAAATTCCCAAAAATGCAAAAAAAAAAATCAAAAAACTATTAAACATGATATTAATAAAAATATAAACTTGAACTTTAAAATAAATGTTTTAAAAAATCTATTATCTAATATTAAAATACATAAATATAACATGTAAAGCACATCCAAATGAGAATTTAAAAATAAAATCAAATATATAAAACATTTTCAAGCATATAAAACCCACAATCTCTTTTTTTTCTCAATTGCATTACTTCAAGTAGCTAATGTGATGTAAAACATATTACATTCCTATTCACCAAAAAAAAACATATTACATTCCTGATTCTACAAGCTGCCTTTGTACCACACCCCTTGAGGCAAGCCCAAACAAGTCCACATTAGGTTGTTTGAGGGCGGAGCAAACAAGCCCTTGAGCGGCGTGGCACAGGGGTCCAGAGGCTCTAGACACAAAAAAAGCAAAAAAAAACGTCAGTTTCAAAAGGTGCATGCTTGGGCTGGGGCACAAAGCGCACCAGGCATGCACCTTTTGAAAGGGCTACACCTAGGACCTAGGCAAGGCGCACCTCGCCTATGTGCATAGGCACACCTTTTAAATCACTGGCTA